GAATTAGACATCATCAAAAATGATCTTCAACGGAATGGCTACTCCAAAGCGATGGTGGAATAGACTTTGCCTGAGAGACAGCAAGAGTTTGGCAAAGAAGAGGAGCAGTCACAACCAGTGCTTGCTCTTCCCTATATCAGATGATTATCGGAAAGGATAAGGAGAATTGTATCCGAGTACAACATCAGAACCTGCTTCAGAAACACTATCCGTAGCAGCTTCACAAAAACCAGGCCACCAAACGTGGACTGCGATTCCAAGAATTGCATTTACCGGATACCCTGTGAGTGCCGAAAAATCCTATATCGGTGAAATTGAAAGGCAATTGAAAGTCTGCATTGCCGAGTTCCAAGCTGAGATACACAGGGAGAAACACTGGTTTAGAAGGAAATTCAAAGGAGCCGCACACATGTTGTTCAAAAATGTATTCAGATAAGCTAGCGTAGAGATACGCAACATATGGAAAACAATAATCAAGCGAAAAATGACCAACGCCAAACGATCATCTCCTGCTAATCATCACCCGAAGATGATTGTGATTACTAACAATCGAAACGTCGTGAAGTAACTTGGCTTGGAATCTCTCAATTTTTAATTCGAATTTTTTGTTTAATTGTTCTATTTTTTACTTTCGGAATCTGTCCTGAGATATTGTATAAATGCTTGGGGTGGAATGTAAATAAAACAATTAAACGACTTCAAACAACACAGAACACTTTGATGAAAATTATATTGAAGAAACCTAGGTTATTCTCAACATATCAGCTACATAAAAATTCCGAGATCTTGAATGTCATGGGTCTATATTCCTATCAATGCCTTAGTGGATATTCAAAAACAAACAGAACTACGAAAAAAATCTATACAAGATCTGTTGAGGATCTATCTATCAGAATACCCAAATTCAGAAAAAGTCATACACAAAGATTTATATTCTATTTCGGACTTAAACTATACAATATATTACCTCTAAAAGTAAAGCAAATAACAAAAATGACGAACTACAAACAAAACATTGAAAGTTTCATTCTCGAAAACCATACACTAAATTCAATTTTCAACTAATACACACTCCTCTATTACTCTATTACTTCATTACTCTATAACTTATTACTTATTCTTTCTTATTTTTCATTTCCCATTATCCTAACCAACCTAACTAATATAAAATAATTCTAATGATAAATTTCAAATTCATCTACTCAATATTATCGATATTATCATTATTATATTTCGAAACTCGCAGTTTATAAAAAAGTAAATGAAGATACCCAAATGGGAGAATGGAACATTACAATACAAGCATTCATTGCTTAGGTATGTTCTATGTTTCCTTTGGGTTTACGATGTATTTTTATTATAGTAGATATTGTACCAAACAAAATATGAAATAAAATAAAAATAAATAAAATAAAAAAAAATTCACCTGTATTGGTTCTTTCGGGGATTTCAAATCATTTTATATAATATCAGACAATAGAAGTCCGAACTGATGAAATTCATCATGAAACATTGTCAATCACCTTCAATCATACATCCAAGAAGGCTATAGTCCCTTGGATTTCTTGGTATATTGTGATTTGGATTTTTGGTTTGAGAGAGTTGGGGTGCAATAGGAAATCGTTCAATGCCTCTTCACGATCTTTTCATATCACAGACGTAATATCCACATAACTTAGCAAACAATATGGTTCTACGACCAGGGCCTCTGAGGCCCCTTATTCAAAATTTTACATGATTAAGTTCGCCACCACTGGACTTTATGTACTGCCCATTACGGTAGCATCCGAAAAAACACCATTCCACTGAAAATAAGTTTATGATAAACGAAGAGGGCCCTATTGTCATGGCTATACGACCCAGAGGAGAGAACGCAAAAGTAACTCCAGCCTGTCCCATTGAAGGAAAAGCTTTTCTTTCTATGTTAAAAATTGGGAGACGTTTTGAGAAACACGACGTGAAACCAATATTTAGGCCAACGAAAACTGTCAGAGAGAGTCAAAGGCCAGCTAAGGACCTCAGAGAACCTTCAGCAACACTCGGGGTATACCAGATTCTTTGCAGCTGGGGGTCAGTCTACATCTGAACTACGTACCCGTCTCTCTAAAAACTGTCGCCTCGGACATGCTCTCAAAGAAGGCTCACTCACGATATATATCATTCGAAGAAATACAAATACTCGATGAAAATCCAAATTACTATCTAAGAATACCAGAAATTCAGAAACACAGGATTAATTTCAATAGCAAGAAAGAGGCAATAAACATTCTGGCAATGTCCCCAATTGTACATAAATGAGGTAATTCAATCCAATTAAGATGATATCATTATATTGAAGATATACAGCCGGAGACGAAATTCAACATTGTAGTTTCTGCGTTGAGAAGAGCTTGAGACTACGGCCGTTACCTCATTGTCTTTGATAATGTCTACCGCAATAGTAGACGAAACGTCTGGCATGAAAACCTGCAAACCACGGCTATAAAACCCAAAACTAGCTTTGATACACTTATCTCCGGCCGTGACTACATCGAATGTTTCAGAAGTTAATCAACAACATCGACATATTTCAAAGCTCATTTGATATCTGGAGAATTTTTAAGTTTTGAGGATTCAGCCAGAGTTTGACTACCGAAAAGTTAAGATAAATGTCTGTGTACCTGACTTTCTCCTAGACAAAATTACAAAATACAAGTATAAATGAATATGCTGAATAGCGCATTTTTCTTTGTAAAAAATACAATGAATTCACGCAGTAACTTATAGGAGGGAACTAGAAATTCAACTTTTCTCTACCTGTATAATGTTAAGCATTTAAATTTTTATTTTTTCTACATTGTGTGAGGTGAGAATCCCTGAAAAGATGCATGAAAAACTAACAATACTATATTCCCCAAAGGTACTATAGCAATTATATCTCTTTCCATTTATAAACGTAACTTTGATACTACACGCTTTCACTATAGATACCCTGTGAACTGAAAAATATTTTAAAAAAGCTCAATGCTTCATTCTATTCTTATCTAAAACTTTTATACGGAACATTGTTTGATAACTTCATTCCATCTCGAACTTATAGTGGAAACTCGATGTAACACACTCTGTATGACATATTGGAATCAGTAGAGGCGTAATCAACAAGTTATATGTTGAATAGTCGAACCCAGACAAATTTTGCATCAACTGTAACAGCTAACCCTTGTCTTTAGATTCAATATCAATTTGCTTCTCCTGAAGATGCTAACCTTGTTAGCGAAACGCGCGTCGAGTGCAAAAATATCAGTTTGGTGTTAGGGTAATTGATCTCTAGAAAAAGTTTTCAAAAATCGGTTTGCAAAACCACTCACTACCTCACGTAACCCCACAAAGACACGGCACTGATAAAGAAATATTGTGAAACGGCTAAATAATAGTATTCAGCCAGTCCAGATAGCCGAGCCTTTATTCCTCATTTACATTTGATTGCACGTTTACTAACTATCTGGGCGACTAGAGGCCACAGGCAAGAAATGTTTGTGAATGTACTAGGGACGCTTTGAACATAAAAGCACTGGTAGTATATACATTTCCCATTTGCCGGGCAGTGATTATGAACACCCCTCGTAGTGCTCTTATTTTTATTGCTGTTCCAATTGGGAATGGATAGACTATACTCGCAAGTATTTTGTCTCTTCAATGAAATGTTTCATCAGGTTTTTTCAGTTATCGATAAATTTTTTTGAGAAAAACACAAGCACTACAGGAAAATCCTTGAGGCGCTCTAAGAGCGGAGCCTGTGCAAAGGTAGCGATTCACGTTGGATTTAAGTCGCTGGAGATTAAATTCATTTGGAAAAAAGTTTTTAGGAAGTTTATTCCACATAAACGCAGTTCTCCAAATTAAAGAGTTCTCAAAAAATGAAGTTCGAGGTGTACTGAGTTGAACCTGTTGAAAACGATGAGCAGTCACAGTCCATCGCATATTTCTGATGTACTGCTCTTGGTGGAATCAAATGTGCTAAGTCACTTGAACACCTCCCGTGAAAGTATCTATAAAAGAGTGACAAATCTCCAACCTCTTTTCGATATTCCAAACTATCAAGGTTGCAAGTGATGTTCGTGTCTTCAATCAGGCGGATGGCTTTTTTTTGGATGGAATCCAGCAGCTTCGGGGTATGCTTAGGGGCGGAGTTCCATACATGAGAACAATACTCCAAAGTAGGCCTGATCTTAGCTTTATAAAGCATCAAAAGTTGTGGAGGTGTGTACAGTTTTCTGGTTCGGAACAGTGTTCCAAGCTTTTGAGAAGCAGCCTCTGCAATTCCATCGACATGATTGTGCCAAGACATATTGGTGTCCATTTCAACCCCCAACAAACCTACCGAAGCAGAAAGCGGAATTGTCTGTCCTGACATTATTATATCCGGTTCGGAGACATTCATCTTTTTGCAGAAGATGTGCATCCGCAGTCGGTGTACTGGAATCCAAATGGAATGACGAGATGAGTGTGCTGTCGTCAGCAAAGCAATAAATCTTTGATATATAATAAAAAGAGGGATGGAGACAATATGAATCTTTGGGGAACACCAGCTCGAAGTTAAAATGGGACTTTTTCTTGTTCTGCCATCATCTGGAAATGAGTTGATGATTGTCACAGTGGTGCCACTTTAATTATTTCATTCTTGAGTTTGTCACTATTTATTCATTGTATTTGATGAATATTAAAGAAAACGAGATATTTTTCTCACAGCAAAACAAAATATTTTTTTCGACGCATGTTCCGCTTACCAATGTAACATTGTCAGGAGATGACTGAGTTTAAATCATCTACTGATGATGCTTACTTTGTAAGCGAAACGCGCCTCAGGGGCAAGATTCTGCTCTGAAAGGAAATTTCCATTTTAGATGTTTCATTCCCAATTTATTGTTTACTCACAATTTTTAGTGTAACTCAGTACTTCACCGTCTCTTAAAACTCTTCTGAAAAATACGCCATTTTGATATTTGTTAACTACTCATGAATATTTTTTTTATTCGGTCCCTGGCAATTTACTTCATTTTAATAACTTGAAAAACATTGCATTTCTTCAAAGTCTTTTCGAAACTCATATGTGCATAAGAGAGTTTACAGATCAAAAAAACCCCAAAAATATTCAGAGATTTTTCTTTCACTGATATGTCTTCTGTCACTTCCTCATTATTCTTCTCTCGGAACTTCAACTGTTGAAGAAATTATAGTCTCTAGTTCTGTTTCAGGTAGAGTTTGGGTAACGGGTAACGGTGAAACTACATCATCACTCTTTATTTCTACCAACATTGGTTCCTCTTCAACAACCTCTTCCACTGTTATATTGGGTATTTTAGGCTCCACTAAAATACTGTTATCATCAATGAAATCAATATCGAGTTCTGTTTTTTTGTCAGCATCCACGCTAATGTCTTCCATCAAATCAGTATTGATTTCTTCTTTCCCTGTCTCAATTCTTGTTTTTGTTATTTCAGCCTCGACATCCTTCTCCACAACTTCAATTTCTTCGTTATTGAATATTTGTAGGGCATCTGGGATCCAGGGTTCTTCCAGTTCAGTACTTAAGCTGTCCGTAAACTGTTTTATTCTATTCAGGAGATATATCGAACGAATTTGGATGTTGACTATAGCATCGTCGAAAAGATCAAGAATAACCTCCAAAAATTCCGTGTGTATCAAAAGCAGCAAACCTTCCAGATAGGTTGGTTCTTTCTCAATGACTTCGTTCTCATCTATCGAAAAAATGCTACTATTGGGATTTTTCTCGAAGATTTTCAGATAGTCTCCCGAGTAGAGTGAAATGTCGTCACTCTTGAAATCATCTATGCTCCTGTTTAGGGCTAATACATTTTTGTAGGTTTCTTTCTCAAATTTTTGTTTCAATTCCATAGTCATTTTTCGCACCCTCAGTAGTCTTCTAGCAGCGAACCTCTTCAGGTTACCATTTTCGCTCGAGCAAAAACATTTCAAGTCTTTCAAGTAAGTATCTTTTCTTCCCATTCTCACCGAAGGGTATACCAGTTCCAAGATCCCGAACAGGGGAGTGTACCTATAAAGGTACCTAGAGTTTTTCGTGAACATCTTCAAATAAGGAATTAGGTGCATGGCAGCCCACTCAATGCCATACTGCTTCGCCAACAGTGGCAGTATAATGGGTGCTGTTCTTCGCACAGCGAAAACCGGATCTTCCAGAAGTGTCACATAGGAAATGGTCAAGTTCTCAGAGAAATACTTCTTATTAGCGAATTTCGTTATGTGCAAAAAGGCTGCGAGCAAACTCATTCTCGTTCTCCAGTGGGCGTGTGAGTTCTTTATGAGAAAACTGGCTACCTCTTTTATGGAAGAAAGATACTTCGTTATGTCTATGTTTTCTGGCAGGCTGTCCAGGTTCTGGAGTAGGTTGGCTTGAACCAGCATAGACTGGTCGCGTTCCAAGAAGTCTATAACTATCGGTAAAATGGTTTGTTTGAAACAACTTTCTGTAAGGACTGAGCCGAGGTTTAGGATGTTTCTGGAGAGAGCTGTCCTCACGTCATCGTTGCGATCTTCTGAAAGCAAAATTATTTGAGGGACGATGCTCTGTTTGAACACTGGGTCGAAATTGTTTTCTGGTTGGGTCTCGTAGGACTTCTTCAGGCTTCGACAGTAGTTAGCAAGGTTCTCAGCGGCTGCAATCCTCACACTGGGTTCGAAGTCTTTCACGAATTCTTGATATATAAATAATATTTTGCCCCTCATTTTTCCATGAGGGATCGCCTCTTGTAATTCTGCTATGCTGTGTGCTAGTACTTGTCGCATTTTCCATGATGGGTCCTCTGAAAGATATAAAGAAATAACTCAAAACTATTAAAATTCTGTAGAAAGCTCTACGATATAACTCGAGGAAATTGTATTCACCTGCACAGCTTGTTATAACTTTTAATACATGTTCTTCTATTTCGTTTTCTGTCAATCTTCTAGATAATGCTATAGAAATAGGTACAGCATTGACTCTTACGGAATCCTGAAAGTAAATGACGAATCATAAACGGAATATTTTTTAGATGTTGCTACTTTTTGTACTAAATTTTTTTATGGCAAAAAAAAGGTTCTATAGACTATTTTCAAAATCTTCCAGGGTCATATTGTTTTTATGTTTTTGTTAAAATAATATAACTGAGGACTTGAATCAAAAAATGAAAAATATCTATGTAAACATCATTGAAAAACAGAAAAATTGAGAAACAACTTTTTGAATTTTTGAAAAAAAAAGGAATTCTCATTGCACCTAAGATATCATATACTCGTATATATTCTGTAACTCTAAAAATCCATAAACGTCTTATAACGATAAGATATATATTTTGTGATCCTCAATAGTTGTTGGTTAATGCAGTCAAGCTGCTGGAAAATAATTCCATGAAAATCAAAAAATAAATAGATAAGTACTTTTTGANGTGTTGTTAAATGCTATATCCCTCCATGATGATTTGGCAAAATAGACTGAATAAATGACAACCAATTTGACAGATGTAGCTTCAACAAGATGGCCGTTATCAATTGTCAAAGTTCGGAAGTCCGTGTTGAAAGACCCTAATATTTCACCATCAAAGAAAAGTTAAATGAACTCGGATTATTTTCAAATACTCACCATGTCATCAAAAATATTGTCAAGAACTGGAATGAATTCATCCTTGAGGACTTCTTTTTCAATTGTGGGAATCATTTCCACCAGACTTCTGGCTGCTTCTTTCCTCACTATAGGTGATTCATCTTGAATGATTAAACGAAAACTGTGTCGAAGTTCAGTCTTTTTTTCCTCTCTAACTTTTGAGTAAATCGTCTGAAAAAAATATATTCAGATGAAAGAATGGCCTATTAGGAAAATCTATCAAATGATAATTCAATTCACGCAGACGTGAATTGAATCATAATTTTTCATTGTAACCCTAACTGACGTTGGTGTTTTTAATAGCAGCTCGTTTTTATTTTTTGTGGATTATATTGGAACACCCAAAGATAGATATTTTATGAAACTCACAGAAAGTAGACTTGATAATACGAATAGTTTTCACAATCTCTTGCTTTAATTTGCCCAAAAAACTAGTTGTGAAAGTTTATGTAAACTGTTCAATCTGAACTTGTTGAATGTTCCAGAATAAATTGGAATAGAATAGAGTGGAGTAGAGTAGGGAAGAGCAAAGTACGAGTTTAATGTTTAATCCCAACACCAAACCGTTATTTTCAACACCTCGACACGTGTTTCAATCATCTTCAAGGGGTGTGGTTAGGAAAGCTGAAGGGAGACATCGAAAAAGTATTCGGAACAGCAGGTAACCGCGAAAGCCATAAAGTACACATTTTGCCCGCAAGAGGCAGGCATAAAGCAATTCGAACACAATAATGAACTATTATTACATAAACCGTATTATATTCAAGTCATGAAGGCAAATACTAGGAAATAATCAATTTCTAAGGGGAAAGGTTTTTTGGCTTTATTCTTCTGCATTATCAAATGAAAAATGAAGAAAACTCACAAAAGACGGAAGTGCTTTGTTCTTATGAGATAGTGCTGATGATGTGATAAGGCAAGTGCTTTGTCCCGAACTTTGTACGTAATAGAAGATGATAATGTTACATATAAGTGACTACGAATGTTCGTTATTAGTCAGTGGGCTATGCTTGAAGACTGGCAATAAACAAATCTGAAGAAATGAACATTAAACGTTCAAGGCAGTCTCGAATATATCTACACAGTAGGTTTAGAGGAATCGGGCACATAGGCCTTTTCATCACAATTTTTTTCTGTGCGCATGCGCAGTATCAGCCATCTTTTTCGTACTGTTTTTTGTAAACAACCATGTTAAAGAGCCCGCAACTCATGTTTTGAAAATTAAAATATTTCATTCCTACTTATTAGTTCCTTCCCATTTCAATCGTATTTTATTCTTGACGTCTGCATAATGCACAACGTTGCAACAATGATATTATTTCAACCATAAAAATGAGTTCACGTTTTCAATAAACAATTTTTGGTGTAAAAATAGTTATTTTTGTATCAAGGGTGTAATGGAGTTGTAAGTTGTTCGAAATTATGAACACTGAGTTCATCTGATTATAAACATCATTGGTGGAGTGAGAATTGTCTAGGAAATTTAATATCTAGAAAAAATCAATAAAAAGATGGGGGTACGACTCACATATTCACAAACATTCCAAAAACTTGAGTTTCGAACCTTTCAGTCATATTCGTGACTGAACTCTTGCCTTCTGACAAAAGACGCTTTGATCAACTTATATACCTACTTCTGATCTATCAAACACTGAAGTTTATTATTTTCGAGTTTGCACTCCTCCTGTTCTGATCATTTTTGGTGTTATTGTTGTGACTTCTGGACTTTTTATATTTTTCAAACGCCTAATGGTGTCTAATACTTCCTGTTCTGAAGGTGTCTCTATAATAAGCTCAATATCTTTCTATTTTCTGGTTCCCGCAAGTTTCTTATCCTTCTAACAAATTTTTGAAACTTTCCATCTTTCTGGTACTTCTGTTACACTTATTCTTTATTCTTGATATATGTATACCATTCTTAAGTTACCCTTCATCAACTTTTCGAATCTTTTGGTGTAATAATATGATTTCTTCGTTTTGGAATCTGAATTCGACATATTTTGGTAAATCTTCATCAGACTCTTTCTTCTTTCTTTCTTTTCATTCTTCTTGCAACTTTATTAATGATTTTATTGGTTCAATTTTGGTTGGATGAAATATTTTGTATGACGGCTACGCTTCCGCTCGTCTTATGATGGAAAGGCCTATTTCGGATATGCAGTTGGTAAGTATTTCGTCCACTAGATGGAGTGACATTTTGTTGCTCGCTCCAACTTAGGAAGAGGAATGAAATTACCCCAGCCAGGTAGGGGTACACTGCGAAGGGCGGTATGGATGTCTGAGGACTTTCATGCCACCATCACAAATCAGTCATGACCCATTCGTCCCTTTGACGAAAATCAGCCCAAAGGGTAAGGGAGCAAGACTCCACCCTGACATAAACGACGATCACCATCGACGATTTTAAATTATGGGATATCATTGACTTCAGGTCGATGATAGCCACTATCTTGCACTAATGAGTGGCTAATAAGCCCGAAACCGGTCTGCAAGTGTGCCCGTTCAAAAATTGAAGGTTGTATTGCCAATTGCATATGCAGAAAATTTTCTGTGAAGATTCCTGCAGTGACGCCTGTTGGATATAATCCAACGCCCTTCGTGGTATTAGCCAGGGGAGTAGTTGTTTTCTGATAGGCGTCAGTCCACTCTGTAGGTATATTCGAGACTGGTTTGAACGTTCAAAGTTCATTTCTTTAGATACGAATATTCGGTGTACAACAAAAATGGAAAATGTGTTTATTTTTTCTGATTGATTCGGCCGTTACTTTATGAAGATACATAGTTATTTCAAACTAGGTGTAGTTTTTGAAAAAAAGAAAAAAAATTTAATGTCATTTTCATAAAATTCATTGCTCATATGAAAGTAGATGTTTCAAAAGGGTTTTTTCTTCCAGTTTGTATCTGAAATAAACCTCTTTGAGATATATAGATATCTTCACAAAAGTTTTGATTGCGTTTTTCTTTTTATTTTGTTCGGAAGTTTTCAATATTTTTTTTTGTTTAATGATCGAGAAGTAGAAAGCTAAAAAACTTTCTATCCGAAAAACTAATCTCGCCTACTGACACAATTTGGCACTATGACATAATTTAATTTTTTGTACAATATATTTATTGTGTTCAGAATATGAAGAAATAATTTCTGATTCCCAATAAATTCATATCCTAGCTACGTACTTTTATATATCTCACTTTTGTTATTTGTTTCAGGTAAGATGCAGATTTCACAAATTCAAATATTTATGTATGGTGAGTCTTATAATTTGGATTGAATTTAAATAACTATTCTTTTGCAATAAATGCCTTGTTTCTCATGCTTGGCGATAACTCAATTTCCATTTTTTTTTTCGTTCTTTGAAACGAACAAAAATATATATTTTCAAGCAGTGGTAACAGCAAAAGAGTCGAGAGGGGGAGGTTTTATAGCATCTTTGGAAACATGTTATAAGTGCGGACCATATGGCGAAATTTCGACGCAACGATTTTTTCGAACTTATTATCAATATTATAACTATACTACACACTCCTTCTTCTTTTTTTCATCAACGGTGTATGACATGGAAGGTGAAATTTGAACCTTTGGCGTATAATAAATCCTAAACAAGCACTTTTTCTTATCACCAGAAATGCAATACTCTTCTTGACGCGCGTTTCACCAACCAAGTTGGCGTCTGTAGGAGATGCAGAAAAACAAACGATTCAATTCAACTCTTATTGGAATGTTAATATGTTTTAAATATGTTTTTCCGTTAACCAGCTATCGCACCCCTACGAACGACAACCCTCAGAAGTCGAAAATTATGCGAGCTAAGGACTAACGTAGATTGAAAAGTAAAATGTCGGTATATGAATTAGGGAGTAGTAAGACGTTTTTCATTATTTTTAACAGTTCTGATTCACTTTCCTGATATTTTTTTGCGAAGACTATATTCATTCGTCTTCGAATGGAAAACTAAGATTGAAGCTGTCGTTACAAATAAATATCTATTGGAAATAATTTCCCTCACCAGAACAAAAAAACTATCTCGATGCGCGTTCCGCTAACCAAGTAAGCATCTTCAGGAGAAGACTAAATCTTAAGCATCTTCTAATGATGACTGAGTCTCAGTCTTCTCCTCTAAATCCTAGTCATCTCCTGGTGACTAAGTCTTTCTCCCCTGATGATGCTAACTAGCTTAGCGAGAGACAGTTTTCTTATTCTGGTGAGGGAGAAGTGTTTTCAATAGTTGAAGGGAAAAAATTCTGGCTAATAGTCAGTAGTCGAATGGAACCTAAAGTACCAAACGTTCTGTTGACGATAGAACGTGGTATCCAGTACTTAAGAACCCTAGAAATGAACTAAAATTCCAGAATACAACTATGTTTGACATCAGAACAGTAGCATACCTGTCAACAATGTGGACTAATCAGAACAACCTAGCAACAGTGCGGACCAATTAGAACGATCAGGTGGAAGTGCGGCCCAATCAGGAGTGAGCATTTGCATGGACGCCACACCTTCACCACCACTATCATCCTCGCTCTCGGTCCCACCATCACCCCACCACCTTCTGAAATTACAAAAACGAGTGAACATCTAGCTCGCCAGTCAGTCGTTGCTGAAATTCCGCAATGATGTCTGCCCAGTAGCAGACGAAACATTTAGTACTTTAGACCTACCGGTTCGGATTTCGTCCTCGCTTATCGTGGTTCCGAGCGTGAAAGCATATGTTCTTGTATCGTAACCAATAGATTAATTTCACACTAGAGGTTTCAAATTTCACTTATTAAGACAGTTCATGATAGTTAACCAATAAACGAGTGAATAACACACCTACCGGGTATAGTGCCACTGCCGAACATTTGCTAGTAAACCAGTCTTCATTCGACAAACCTTCTAGCATAGGAACTAAAAGCTCTTCCGTCAGTTCGCTGTTCATGTTTTCAGCCATGTCTTTCAATGTCTCCACCGTTTTGGCTCTAACTATGGTTTCGTCGGTGTTGCAGAGTTTCCTGAGCAGATCCAGGATCGGTTGAGAGTGTTCATACCCTCCTACGAGGGGAACGAAACCGTTCAGCTGCTCAGAGAGGTTCAAAAGTATTTCGTCGTGGAAGTCGAGGTTTTCTTTGATGAAGGGGAGCAGCTCATTTCTCGTTTGTTCTGCTCCTAGTAGTGAAGCGAGAGATTTCAGCTCTCGCGTCATTTTGATTTGTATCTGAGAAAATGAAACCTGTATTAGAGGTGTTGTATGAAGTCAATAGACTATCAAATAGATCATGTAATCAGTCGGCTGGCTTGGTTGCGAAGTTATTTGATTTTATGTCCCGTTTCTTCGAATAAAAGGAGAAAATTTTCAATACGCTTACTATAGACTAGTTTTTGAAATGGGCATGTAAATGAAAGTATTTAACCTTTCTCCCACGAATGTAATATGGTATATGATATATTATAGTCCTGATTGAACCCATACCTCTTTGAAAAAAGTGAAATTGGTCTTTCCAACCAAAACAATTAATTCAATGAACTTTTATTCTTCCGTAATATGTTCTTTCTGTATGACCAATATGGAGTTCGGACAAGAAGTATGAGTCAACTCAGCGAAATTTTGCGAAACTGGAAATTCTTTCTTGTTTTCAATGAAGGACCACGTAAACAATATAGGTGTTTGTGATTATCCATCATATTTTCGTAATTTCGAGGAAATTTCAGTTCTTGATAAGCGGAACAGAAAGTTTATTGAATCAACTCACCCGTATTTTACGGAACTGAAGAGTCTTATTTATTTTTAATAAAGGACCATGAGAACAACACAGGTGTTTGCGAATATCCGTTATATTTTCCAAAGTTCGGGGAAATTCAGTTTTTGATAAGCAGAAAAAAAGTGTAATGGGTGTGAAGTTGAAAAATGAGCCAGTTTCTAGCTACAGCAGCTCAAAGTTACAGCTTCCGGACTGTATTCGGTTTCCTATACGACCTACTGTGGGTCACCATATCGATAATCTGACAGCAGATTTCTGATCGGTGCATTCAAAAACCCCTATCTACAAGTTTGAACCGTTTTTCAGGAATATTCAAAAATTTAACAGTTTTCATAGTTCTTTGTCCCATTTTGGAGACCCATGAACTACTGTGAGTCACTATATCGAAAATCTGACATCAAATTTATATTTAGCGCCATCAAAAACTATGGTGGATTTTCAATCGTGAACATGTTCACAGTTTTATAGAGACCCACGTCAAAGCTCTAACTCTGAGCTCTAACTCTTCAAAATTTCTGTTCTATTCTTCAAAAACGCCGAGTTTCAGACAATTTGACGAGTATTGTATGTATTGTTCGATATTACTAGTGGGTCGACCAAAGTAGGGATTAACTTGATTGGATTGTTATTCCAGCAAAACATTTTCAGTGTAACGTTGACAATTTTAGTGAAATGTGAGTGAATGTTGATTTCGCTAGGTCAATTATGGTTTGTCCAGAATACCATTGGATTCCTTGCCCAGACTTTTTCTTTTCTATTTCCCAACTTGGACGTACTAATTTCTCTTTATAAATTTCACATGCAAATAATTGTTTACTAGGAACCATAATAATTGATTCGTCGACGTAAAACTCATTACATTTTTTAGATTCTTGTTATCACAAGAAAGAATAACATGATTTCGGTATATCACTCTAATGGTGTAAAAATATCAGTTAAAGAGGTTGAAATGAGAATAAATAACAAAAACAAGTTTGAACTGAAAGAGATGATGAGAGAAAACAAGCAAACACTCTAATATTTTTACTCAAATATCTGAATTGCTCAGAAGTGGGACGCAGATTTGAAAGGAATATTTGCCATTCAAAAGCAAATCGCATTCCTCTTAAAAAATTATAACTATTTCTACCGCTTCGTGAAAAAACTTCCTGTTTTAAAGATTGGAAATAATCAATAGATCACGTGAAAACGCGATCATTTCATTCTTTGTGATACACTCACCTCAAGATTTTCTTCCCGAATTGCATCTTTGAAAACTTCATATTCTTTCGGTGTCGTTTCAATTTCAGCCATATTTTTTCACGAGACAAAAAACTTAGTTAACTAATGAGGAAACCACTATTCCTCCGAGTTATTTCGCTACATGGAGACTGACAATCTTATCAGTTAAAACGTTAGTTACTTTATCTACTCCATATCAATAATCTAGTTGCGTTCATACTCGATAGAATAAGAATGGGAGACGCTCCAAATTTTGTAACCGTTTAGGCGTGGAGACTAACTATTATGACGTCATTTGTTTGAACTTTGAACGGCGTTTGAACGACGGTGTTTAGCTAGGAAAATTAAAATAATTACACAGATAGGTCATGATAATGGTTTCAACACAGATACAATCCAGAAGTCAGAAAACAGAGCCGTAAATTCACATACAGATTAGTATTCCCCCATACAATATACATACAATATATTGGTTGTTTCAAAAGGTTTGTCCATTTTAGAGTCATGTGTTTTTGTAGTTCCATATCTCAATAAATATTCATTCTAGAGTATTACACTACGACATATTTATACTGATTTTTTGTTTCTTTTCAGTTTATGACTATACTATAACAATTTTCAATTGAAAGTGATTCAATAGCAACGTCGCACTTGAAGTGACCAACGGGTAATCCTCTTGCCAACTCTGCAGAGGGGTACCAAAATAATATTTTTATTTATTCAAACACATAGGTAATTACGCAAACATTTTTATAGTAGGTGGCGCTACCTGGTGTCAATGGTAAAACTGATTACATTTTCTTATTATGCCTAATACAGTACTTCAAAAAAAACAGAAAAATTTCCAAAATAATTATGATATTCCTGTTATATAGAAAGAGAACTACAAAGCAAAGAAATAATTACCAATGTTATGCTTATGAAGTTTCAGAATCCATTGACTCGTCCGAAGAGAAATCCCCAGTCACACTTAAATCTATTATTATTTGGTCGAAAACAGTGTCTACCATTCCGTTCAATCACCACATTTTCTCTTCTTGATCACATGGGCTTCAGCATTAGCCCAATCTTCTTTCCGTATCCATTCCATTGCGAGTTCCAATAAACGTTGGACATCAGAAATTTTATATGTCACGTTTTCACGAGCTACGTAACCCTTAATTTGAGCCCAGATTAATTCTATTGGTTTTAACTCGCAATGATAAGGAGGAAGTCTCAAAATGGTGATGCCTTCAGCACGAGCTATTGTATCCACCACATGCTGGCGATATCTGCCACGATGCTGTTTAATGACACTGATAAGCTCGGCCTTAACCATGTCCTCGGAAAATGGAATTCCTTTTTGTCCTAAACAACTCTGCATGTCTGCTTTTGTGGTGGTCATAGTTGGCAGCTGTTCTACTAATTGGCTGTGATAAGAAGCGTTATCCATTATTATTACCGAATTTGGCTCGACTCGTGAAAAAAGGGATTCAAACCATCCTTCAAAGCGTTGGGCGTCCATGTCTTCGTGATATTCCCCAGTTTTTTGGGATAAAAAAATTAGTGCACCATCGTCTAAAAAGCCACTCTCGCTACCTATATGGGCGACAATTAGTCGTTGGCCTTCACCCTTTGGTCCGCGTTTATATTTAATAAATACAAAACAAAGTCACCTTCACAAGAAACAGAACACACTACGCCTATGCAGATAAGGGCGCTTGATAATGAAGAAACCGAATGACTAGTTATGGTATTTTAAGGATGCAAATATAATAGACCTGCGAAGTGTTGATCAGTTTACCGATGTTTCAAAGTATTTAACGAACTGGTTCACCTATTCGCTCGTACATCCTATCGATATGCATAAGCTATCTTGTTACGGGGGGCAAATTTTATGGAATCATCTTACTTTTTAATTATTCACAATTGCGATGCATAGACAATAAAAATGACCCCGGTAAGAATTTAGTTCTAACATTCAACATTGTTGGTGTTAGCTCTCAGTTCAATTTGTATATGAGTTACCTTCAATTGAAAATTGTTATAGTATATATGATGTTGATGAGCGATTTTTGGCCAATTTATCTCTTCGAATTCAAATTGAACCAAATCGCTGCTGAAACAGTCTTAAATATTAACCAGGCATTTGGAAATGATAGTGTTAATGAACGCACTGTTCGACGGAGTGGTCAACCTACAGTAATTCCAGGAAGAGAACTGACCCATCACAAACAGTGCATGGTATGGCGGAAGAATTAGCTCACATGCGGTTTTTGATGGTTTCAGACGTATTGGAATGGTCAAAAATCTCAAAGAGTGGGTGCTCTACGATTTTAATGATCGACAGGAATTGTCACGTTTCGAAGTCTGTTCTTCTTTGCTTTTGCGCAACCAAAACGAATCGTCACGTATAATGAAAAGTGTATCATCTACGACAATAGGATACGTTTAAGACACCAATTGGTGTTTGGACACCAATGAGCCACCCAAGCATTACCCAAAGACGAAAACCCACCAAAAATATCGTGGTTACTCTATGGTATTTAGCAGCTGGTATGATTCACTATAACTTTCTGCAATCAGATTGAAATTAGACTCATAAAAACGGACAAAACTTTCGAAACAACCAATATTCATATAAACTACTCAAAATGAATATAGAGACTAGAAACACACACTTTTAGCTACAAAATCATTAATATGAAAAATTCTGTATTTAGTTTCACTTTACTTTAGTTCGTGATAGGAATTAAATTTCAGAATTCAAACAACGAATGTTGATGTATTGGGCAGAAGGAGGATACGTAGGGTGTACCTCAACGAATTTCAAGTTACTAAAGCAGTGGCATTGATCGAAGTAGGATATTCAAGGCGTCGTGTAGCCCAAATGCTTAATGTGAGTCATTTTGCGGTTTCCAGAGCTTGGAATCGTTACCAAATTTACGGCATAGTAAAAATAGCCCCTTATTTCAATCGACAAAGGGCAACAACCCGCAGAGAAGATAGTTAGTTACGACTTTGGGCAATTAGGGGTCGCACCGATTCTGCTAGAACACTACAAAATCCCTTATAGAAGCTACGGGAACGCGAATTTCGAACCAAACGATACGAAACCGATTTCACGAAGTACAACTCCATGCAAGACGACCTGCTAGAGCCCCTAGATTAACTCCAGCTCATCGAGGAAATCGTTGAAATTTTTGTCAAGATCATCGTAATTGGAATTCAGAGCAGTGGGCCAATGTTATAATTACAGATGAAAAAAAAATCATGTTATTCAACAATGACGGACGTGTTCGGGTATGGAGACGTCACGGTAAACGCTATTTGGATGACTGTGTGCGAGAAATTGTTCCATTTGGAGGTGGATCGATAATGGTATGGGCTGGTATAACTTTGACAGGACACACGGACCTTGTGGTATTTCGGGAAGGGACTTTAACGGTTGTCCGTTACATAGAGGAGATAGTGGAACCTCATGTCGTCCTATTTGCTCAAAATTTGGGCGCTGGGTTCATTTTACAACAAGATAATACCAGGCCATACGTAGCCAGGGTCGTGAGAAGTTTCCTACAGAAGCACAATATCAATGTCATGAGATGGCCAGCTAATAGTCCGGATTTAAGTTCTATTGAGCAGCTCTGAGATGAACTGGAAAGAAGTTTGAAGGATCATCAACCCCTCCAAAATCTGAACCTAGTTGCAGATGCTCTTTTGCCGATTTATGAGCAGTTACCACAACAAATAATTGGAAATTTGGTGGAAAGCATGCCTCGTCGTTGTGCCGAACTTCTTTTGTGCAAGTGATATCAGAGTCAACTGCTGTTTCATGAGATATTAATGAGAAAACCCTATTACAAAAAAATGGAAATTTATTATTTAAAAGAAGTAAAGCCCTGCTTTAGGGAAATTGTAAATGTATGTCAAAAACATGAAAATGTATTATTATAATGAAGTAAAGCCCTGCCTTAGGGAAGTTGTATATTCGTTTTATTCTATTACCAATTTTTTTGAGTTGAGTTATTGAGAATTCAGCATTGTTAATGATTTGAAAATCATGTAGATTTTTATCAGTATTAAGTAAGAAGGCATAAATATCACTGAGGTGATCAATGTCTGATCTTTTATTAAGACAATTATTTATAATGATATAACCGCGAAACACGTGTCGCGGTTTTTGTAAAACCCTTTTATAGTGAAAATCATGCAATAAACTGTATTGATCAATTTTTCAATAGTTCAATATAAAAATTAAGGAGATAACCGATCGAATTATTTACTGTCAAAGATTCGTGAATAACAATTTGTCATCCGAAAATAAAAGTATTCATCGGTAAAACCTGAAGTATTTTTAAAGTTAAACAACATTATCTACTTTTTATGGATCAATGGAAACGAAAACTTGAAGGCACATTGTCATCGCCCATGTGTTTGAAATACTATCACCGATTTTAAATCAACCATCATTTGCCACCCAGAGAACTTAATCAACCTCCTAACTTTTCCATCACATAAAATCGACTCAGAAAATAATTCTGCTTGATTAAAAAAAGATGACGACACAAATTGCGTGAGGGAGTTTAGATTTAGTCCTATTTCCATGCCGATCGCGTGACTGTGGAGAGCGAATATATTGGGGGTGATTTGTGCATTGTTAGGATTTACGTTGAATTATCATAACATTCATCTATATTCGCGGTCTCGCAATCTAAATGATATTTCTCAAAGCCCTGAAAATTCAGACAGATCTTCAGGCCAAGAGTTCAAAACAATACAGACATTGACCCAAATATTTATGACTCAACGTCAGACAGGGCTGTGTTGACACGCCATCTATTGAATCAACAGACAACTCGATTTTTGAGTATCAAAGATAAACGAGCCTTTTTCATTATTATGCCCTTTTCATGCCAAATTAAAATTCAACAATGTAAAAATCGCGATTAGCAAAGTAGAGCCATCTTTCACCCTCTCATCCAATCAGCGCGCAAAAAAATCTGTTTAAAATCTAGATAAACGAGCCTTTCCAAGGCGGTCAGTTGCAAAGTCGAACTTCGACAACGAGCGCCGAACGAGATTCGTCCTCTGTTTTTAACTGTAAGGCATCTATTGAATCAACAGACAACTCGATTTTTGAGTATCAAAGATAAACGAGCCTTTTTCATTATTATGCCCATTTCATGCCAAATTAAAATTCAACAATGTAAAAATCGCGAATACCAAAGTAGAGCCATCTTTCACCCTCTCATCCAATCAGCGCGCATAAAAATCT